TCAGTGTTAATCACTGAGACTCCCATAGGGTTCAGTGTTAATCACTGAGACTCCCACAGGGTTCAGTGTTAATCACTGAGACTCCCACAGGGTTCAGTGTTAATCACTGAGACTCCCACAGGGTTCAATGTTAATCACTGAGACTCCCATAGGGTTCAGTGTTAATCACCGAGACTCCCATAGGGTTCAGTGTTAATCACTGAGACTCCCATAGGGTTCAGTGTTAATCACTGAGACTCCCACAGGGTTCAGTGTTAATCACTGAGACTCCGACAGGGTTCAGTGTTAATCACTGAGACTCCCATAGGGTTCAATGTTAATCACTGAGACTCCCACAGGGTTCAGTGTTAATCACTGAGACTCCCATAGGGTTCAGTGTTAATCACTGAGACTCCCATAGGGTTCAGTGTTAATCACTGAGACTCCCACAGGGTTCAGTGTTAATCACTGAGACTCCCATAGGGTTCAGTGTTAATCACTGAGACTCCCATAGGGTTCAGTGTTAATCACTGAGACTCCCATAGGGTTCAGTGTTAATCACTGAGACTCCCATAGGGTTCAGTGTTAATCACTGAGACTCACTCCCATAGGGTTCAGTGTTAATCACTGAGACTCACTCACATAGGGTTCAGTGTTAATCACTGAGACTCACTCACATAGGGTTCGGGGTTAATCACTGAGACTCCCACAGGGTTCAGTGTTAATCACTGAGACTCACTCACATAGGGTTCAGTGTTAATCACTGAGACTCCCACAGGGTTCAGTGTTAATCACTGAGACTCCCATAGGGTTCAGTGTTAATCACTGAGACTCACTCCCACACACACACATGGCAGTGTATGTGTGTTCCTGTGTGTCTGTGTGTCTGTGTGTGTGTATCTGTGTGTGTGTCTGTGTGTGTGTCTGTGTGTGTGTCTGTGTGTGTGTCTGTGTGTGTGTGTATCTGTGTGTGTGTGTCTGTGTGTGTGTGTATCTGTGTGTGTGTGTGTGTCTGTCTGTGTGTGTGTGTCTGTCTGTGTGTCTGTCTGTGTGTGTCTGTGTGTGTGTCTGTGTCTGTGTGTGTGTCTATGTCTGTGTGTGTGTCTGTGTGTCTGTGTGTGTGTCTATGTCTGTGTGTGTGTCTGTGTGTCTGTGTGTGTCTGTGTGTCTGTGTGTGTCTGTGTGTCTGTGTGTGTGTCTATGTCTGTGTGTGTGTGTCTGTGTGTGTGTCTATGTCTGTGTGTGTGTGTCTGTGTGTGTGTCTGCCGGACGGGCAACTCTGTCGTGGACAGCGCTGTGGGGGGAGATCCAATTTTGATTGGCTCCTCCCCTCATGGCATATGTGTCCACCACAGGGGCTAAACGGGGGCTCTGGACGGGTGCGAGGGGCTGGTAACCCCTCCACCTTCAATTAATTACCACGAAACCACGAATTAAACTGAAATATGGAACAACTAAGCTTGTGCCGGAGGCCCCGGGGGGCCAGGCGTCTATGACGTCTCCTGGCCAAACCCCAATTGGCGGAGCCAGGAGATTGAATACCTACCCTCGGGGCTACTCCAGAAACAACGAAAAGCCACTACGGGTGGCCACGTGGAATGTTCGAACGCTCACTGCAGAGGAGAGGCTGCCACTCCTCTGTCGGGAGCTGGACCGGTACCGCCTGGATCTATGCGGCATTCAGGAGGTCCGGTGGACCGGTGTGGGAAGCTGTAAGCCCCAGGCTACTTTGGGCTCGCCTTCCCATCAACCGGAGGCGAGGAATGGTGGTCGTGGTTACTTATGCCCCCACCGAAGATGAACATCCGTGGAGGGATGCAGGCAAAGCCGATGAGTCAGATGCCTTCTATGACCTCCTGTCACAGGTGCTGGCTAAAGTGGCCCCTCGGGATAGAGTCATCATGTTGGGTGACTTCAATGCCCGAGTTGGTCATGATACTGGCACCTGGTCTGGAGTGATTGGAGGGCATGGGCCAGATCAGCTCAATAACAACGGTAGGAGGCTGCTAGATTTTTGTGCAGCCCATGGGCTTGTAATTACCAACACGCTGTTCCGGCATCGGCGCATCCACTCAACATCATGGATGCATGCCGGGTCCAAGCAAGAACATCTGCTGGACTACATAGTGACGGACCAGCGAATGCGAGCCCATGTCCTTGACACCAGGACCTACCGTGGAGCTGATCTGCCCTCTGACCATCGACTAGTCATCTGTAAGATGCGCCTGCCATTCTTCCACTCCGGTGGTGGGTGTACACCCAGGACCCCATTCCAACCTAAAGTGGCCTGGTCTCAGTTATCTGATGAAAGTTGCAAGCGAGAATTTCATCATCGCTTGCGGCTGGGATTGGCATCGTCCCCGACTCCTCCTGATGTCGAGGGTAAATGGGCGAGGTTTAGGACTGTGACTCATGCAGCTGCAATGGCTGCTTTGGGTACGCGGTCCAGACCTCCCCAGACACCCTGGATGACAGAGGAGTTGTTCAGGATGGTTGAGAAAAAGCGACAGGCCCACTGTCATCGGCTACAGAATCCCACGTCAGAGAATGAGGAGGCTTACCGCAGCCTTCGCTCGGAGGTTCGGAGAGCCGTGAGGCGCTGCAAGGATGGGTGGTGGTCGCGGGTTGCTGAGGAGATGGAGTCTGCCTCAGTGGCCCGTGATCACAAATTTCTATTTAACTCCATCAAAAAAGTAACCTGCAGCGCCACACCTATTACCATCATTAGGGGAAAAAACGGTGATCCAATCTCCGACCCCCAGGAACAGGTTCGCAGATTTGCTGAGCATTTCTGTGAGGTCCTGGGGGAGGGAAAATCCCTCAGCCAGGAAAACATCGTGGCACAAAGTGAGGATGACCCTGCTGAGGCTGCGGTGCCTCAAATATTGGATGAAGTCACCCCCTGTGAGTGGCTGGCTGAGGTGCCATCTGCTGAGGAAGTATTTAGGGCGATCCGGAGTCTGAGACCAGGAAAGGCAGCGGGCAGAGATGATCTCCCAAGCGAAATGCTGAGGGAGGGTGGCGTTTGTGCACAGACTGCTCTATATGACATCATAACAACAGTCTGGACCACTGGACGGGTTCCGCAGGATTGGAAGGATGCCCTGGTGGTCCCCCTTTTTAAGAAGGGGGACCGCACAGACTGTAACAACTACAGGGGCATCTCACTCCTCAGTGTGCCGGGAAAGGTCCTGGCAAGGATTATTCAGCATCGCCTTGCCAGGCACGCTGAGGAGAGGCTTGCGGAGCCCCAATGCGGTTTCAGGAAAGGGCGGTCCTGCACAGATGCCATATTTTCTGTCCGTCTGCTACAGCAGAGGTGTAGGGAATTCCAACAAGACCTACATCTCTGCTTTATTGACCTGGTCAAGGCCTATGATACCATCAGTAGGCCTGGGCTCTGGGTCGTTCTTCGTGCTTTTGGAGTACCTGACCCTCTGCTCACAATCATTAAGGACCTTCATGATGGTGAGCGGGCCCGGGTAAAACTACGTGGCCGGGAGTCAGAGCCATTCCCTGTACACCTTGGGGTGCGACAGGGATGTCCTCTGGCTCCCACATTATTTAACATCTATTTTGACCACGTAGTTCGTGAAGCTTTCAATAGCTGTACCGGGGGAATCTCCATATGGTACAGATATAATGGGAGGCTAATCGATGCCCGGGTGCGGTCAAGGGATGGCTCCCTATTGCTCAACCACGTTATGTATGCTGATGATTTGGTAATAGCTGCACAGTCAGAGGAGGAGTTGGAGACGCTGCTGCTGAGACTGGAGCGTGCCACTAAGAGGTGGGGCCTTACCATCAGCCCCACCAAAACTAAGCACCTGCCTGGGTATTTTGTCCCATCGGACACTCCACCCACCCAACTCCCAATCGGTGATGGGGCAGTTGTGGAGAAAGTGGAGAGTTTCCCATACCTCGGCAGTGTGCTTATGACTGGCTCCAGTTTAACAGCAGAGGTCTCACTCCGAATCAGTCGAGCGGCAATATCTTTTCATCGGTTGCGTAACGCTGTGTGGAAGCTACCTGGTCTGTCGCTCCGCACTAAGCTTCAGGTCTTCTCGGCCACGGTCATTCCCTCCCTTCTCTACGCTTGCGAAACGTGGACCCCCCTAATGGAACATCTTCGCCGGTTAGAAACATTTAGGCTGGCCTGCCTACGATCCATCCTGGGTTTAACCAGACTGGATTGTGTGAGGAGCTCACAAATCCTTGAAAGATCTGGGCAGGGTCCCATCGGTGAGCTCCTCCGGCAGGCAAGGCTGCGATGGCTGGGTCATGTAGCCCGCATGCCCAGCCACCGCATGCCGAAACAGCTTTTGTTTGGCCGGATTGAGGGGGCTAAGCGGGCGCGGCACGGGCTAGAGAAGAGATGGAGTGATGTGGTACAGGAGGACGTGGAGCTGAGTGGACTTGCCGATGACTGGTACCAGCGGTGTCAAGATCGGCCTCTGTGGAGGAGTCTCGTGAAGGACGCTACTGGGCAGTTGGAGGCAGTCGCCCTCCAACAACAACGGAGGGCGGAGGAGCGACGCTCACAACAGCGAGCGGAGCGCCGGGTGGCTAAAGCACAGCAGGTTGGCACAGTAGGGGGCACAGGTGGTGCATCAGCCAGTCATCTCAGTCAGTCGACCCGTGGCACCTGGGTCTGCCCCATGACCTCCTGCCAGCGGGCGTTCGACACTTCACGTGGCCTCAGGGTGCACATAGCCTGGCACAAGCGTCGTGGTGACGTCACCGCCACTTAGTGGCGAATGGCGGTTGTTGTTGTTGTTGTGTCTGTGTGTCTGTGTGTGTGTGTCTGTGTCTGTGTGTGTGTATATCTGTGTATCTGTGTGTCTGTGTGTGTGTCTGTGTGTGTGTGTCTGTGTGTGTGTCTGTGTGTGTGTGTCTGTGTGTGTGTCTGTGTGTGTGTATCTGTGTGTGTGTGTCTGTCTGTGTGTGTGTGTCTGTGTGTGTGTGTGTCTGTGTGTCGCATGTGGGGTGGCCCCGACGTTTCGAGACCCCCACCCTCTCAC